CCCAACAGAGGTCCCACCACAATCGACTCTAAGGGATTAAATAAAGTCTTTCAGCTTGCTGGAATCTCACATTAAACATTCTTGGAAATAAGTAGGCCATAGGCTAATGCTAAGAAATCTTTCATAATAAAGATATTCAGGTTGTAACATAACTGTCATTATAGGATTTGACCTGAATAAGAAGAGGAACTAAACAGAGCTTTCGCAGCAGAGCTCTTTGAGGATGGATCGAGCTGAATCCCCAGGGGGAAAGAGCGGCTCTTTCACAGAACTGTAAAGATGCCCACCCCTCCTATAAGTTCTTGCTGTGAAAACCAGAGAGACAAAACGCTCCTGGGATGTAAAAAGTACATGGACTTCAGATTCAAAGGATTTAGAGTCCACATCCTAATTGTTCCACTAACTTACTGCGTAACCTCAGGAGAACTCAGTTTTGACTTCTGAGCTTCAATGTTTGCATCTATGAAATGGGGAGAGAGGAGTCCTAACTTACAGTTACTATGAGGAGTAAGTAAGCTCATAGCTGCAAATGCACCAGGCACAGTCCTTGGCACACAGGATGTTCTCAACCAGTATTAGCCTTTCCCTCTTCTTTACTGATCCCAGCATTTTTATGTGGTTTTCTAAACATAGCAATGATTAGTAAAACTTAGTAACTTTTTTAATTGCTTCTGTGAAAAAGCATTGCCACTTCTGACCCATGAGGTATAGTGGAAAGATTCCTGTTAAGAGAATCAGAGGACTTAGGTGCAGTGCTACTTCTGCTGCTTACAAGTCAGGCCCTCTCCAGGCCTATTGTCTGTGCAGTAAAATAAAGCTGCCTACCTGGGTGGATCACAAGGTCAAGAGATCGAGACCATCCTGGTCAACATGGTGAAACCCTGTCTCTACTAAAAATACAAAAAATTAGCTGGGCATGGTGGCATGTGCCTGTAGTCCCAGCTACTCGGGAGGCTGAGGCAGGAGAATTGCCTGAACCCAGGAGGCAGAGGTTGCAGTGAGCCGAGATCGCATCATTGCACTCCAGCCTGGGTAACAGTAGTGAAACTCCGTCTCAAAAAAAAAATAGCTGCCTACCATACCCCTGCCCCCAGGAAGGTCATGAGATAATGTATTAAAAAGCACTTTGAAAACCATGAAGATCTCTACAGATGAAAGGAAGTACCATTGCTTGAGTGCAGCTCACAGACAGACATCTACATTCTTCAGGTATGGGGATCCCAGACTCTGCAATCTAGTCTAGGTGAGCCATGCCACAGAAAACACGCCCCATAAAGGGAAAGAGGGGCCCAGTGCAGAGGCAGAACTCAGAGGACTCCAAGAACCACCCAGGTTCAATAATGCTGGTGGACACGATCCAAACTCAGATGAAACTAAACAAAGTTGTCAGCTCATCGGTTACGATTGCTTAGGTCCTCTCTGAAACTGACAGCATCTACAAAGAGGTCTATGTACAGTCTAGAGCAAGCGGGGATAAATGGAAAGAAAAAGAACTTATCCGGATTTATTCATCAGTGTACAGTGAAGAAAGACACTGCAGAATATGAGTATTTCAGTCACCAGAGAGGTGGGCTCCACTGTGGGACAGAAATCCAAATTTTCCAGGACAAAGAAGTGGTCACCTAACCCCTTCTCTGACTCCATCACCACCACCAGCAATAACAACAATAATCGCTAACACTACTAGCAGCTGCCCTCACTGAACGCTCGCTGCTTGCTGCGCCCGGGCTGAGAGCTGTGTGTGCCTCTTATTAATCTTGACCACATCCCATCCCTAGAATTGATGCTAACATGAGGCCCACTTTTCAGATTAGCACATAGCTATTCCAACTGTCAATCTCAGAAATCCTTATCCTTAAAAACCCTTAATCCAAAGTCCTTAAGAGCAGAGAAGGGATACAAGGGTGGAGAGAATTCCCATCTCTCAAAAAAGGGTTTCCCTTGATGTATATTTGTCCATGTCTCCTTTTCCACGTTCTACAGAAGGTAGAGAAAACTGAAGCAATCAAGAGGAGATGATCAGTCACTCATAAACCAGAAGTAGGGCCCAAGGGTCCTCATCTCCATCTTTGTAGCAGACAAGCTGACCAATATTTTGTCAATTCATTTTCTAACCAATATTTTGTCGGTTCATTTTCTGGCATGAGGAAGAATTACACTGATTAACGCACCAGTAGCTTAGGAGCGGAAGATGGTTCAACCAATCAGAACAACTGGGACAATTTGACATCAGTACTAGGGGCAATGATATCACTTCCTACTTCTAATTTTATGCAGAGGAGAGAAGAAAAGACTTCTCAGCCATCACCCAAAAAAAAAAAAAAAAAAAGCCGCCAAGCCAGGGATCGTCAATTAGTGCTGGAGTAAGTGATCATCTTGTGATTGCTCAGCTGGGGCCAGAAGACTTGTAAATGCATTTAGAGGACAGAAATAGATGTTGTGAGACATCAGAGAAACCTGGCCCATTTGCCAGGAGAAAATGTCCCAAAGCTGCCGGGAAATTTACTCAATTGGGATTTGGTGTGTGTCTTCACAAATAAGAAAAGTTAATAAATAAAACCCGTGGATGAAGCCAGGGCCTAAGCCTCGTTCTACTGACTCATCTCTCCGTGACCCCCAGGCTCCTCTGGGTGCCTCACTGTGCCTATCAGAGCCACTTGACTGGGTGCTCACTTTCTTGAACTAGGTTGAGCACCCTGACGTGCCCCTAATGCACAGCCAGACTCAAGCTAGGGGTGAACTAATGGTCATCCTTCCTGCTTGGTGATCCCCTGTAGCCAATATCAAGTACTTTGGCAAGAGCTGGCCAATGTGTTCAGAAGAAAACAGGGCCCAAGGTCATGAGCAGGTTCATGGTATCCTTGGGTCCTACTCCAAACAGGTCCTCCTACCCACAAAGCCTTGGAAATCTTGCCAACCTCCACCAGCCTCTATCGCTGCCACCACTCAGCTGACCCCAGATCATCCCAAAAGAGACACTGGATCACAGCCCTCTTCCAGGATCCTCAAGGGCAAGCCAAAGACATGCTCTGTTACCACCCACTTCAGAGACACCTGCAGCCCAGGATGCAACCCTGCTCCCACTCCTGAGCCTGTAGAAACCTGCTGGGTCCCAAAGCCTCTCCATCTCCCTAAAAGCTGCGGGGACACCATACCCTAGAAGGCTCTGGGGCCTGAGCACCCAGCCCCTGTCCTCAAAGAGAACAGGGTTTCTCGCACATCAACAGTGTCCTCCCCCAAATATGACCTCGCACCACAAGCTGGCACTCTATGTGGCACATTCTGCTCATGGAAGTAGTTTCGTTTGGCTATGGAGTTGAAGGGTCTTGTTTTTAGTTGGCAGCATTTAAAACTTGAGTAGTTTTATGGAATCTCCAAGTCTTCTGGAAACAAGTCTGACCAGGCCCCACTTCCACGTGGCAGCAGTCAGCTGGAACTGATGACTGGTTGCATCTTTGAAGGGGACACGTGGCCCCACCTGGTTGACCATGGGCACTTGACTTTGTGATCTTTGTATGAATTAGTATGAAAAGGAAGACTTCTCAGATGTCAAAAGCATTTGGGATGTTTTACAATGAAACTCAAACCCCCAATAAAATAAACACCTGGAACATCTGGTCCAAGGCCCTCCTCTGGTCCCAGCTATGCCTCCATCTACAAAGAACACACATCAGGAGGCTCTCACCACAGAGGCTACCCTGGGGCAAGGGGCAACAGCCAAATTAGACAGTTGAAAGGGAGGTCTCAGTCCCCTGGAGCTGATATATCTGGCCCTGAGCAGTGGCATAGAACCTGCTATTTCCTGAGGGAGAAAAGAAGGCTCCGCACAAAGCAGCAGTGGCCATACTGATAAACAAATATATCTCAAGCACGCACTATGCGCTTGGGAAAACACACAGAGCCCAGGGGCAAAGTCAGGACCCCCAGAGAAGAAAAATCCACTCCTCCACCAGGATTCTCTGTCATCTCTTCTCTTTCCCTTCCCCCCGACCCTCCGCTTCCCACAGCTCTCCTGGATGCTCTGCCCCTGCATGTGCGATTTCTCTCCAGCCCAGCTGCTCTGCCTTACCAAATGCAAAGTGCTCAGTCAGTGAAACTTTTAAGAGGCCACAGGAAAGACTAGCCTCAGGCACACCACTTCTCCACTTTCTCCCATAAGGCAACAGACCCATCCCCACCTGGTTCCTGCAGAGCCTCTGCTCTTAGGAAACACGCCCAGTGGATGTCCAAGATGGCCACTATTCTCGGAGGTGACCCAGACAACGAATACCCCTCTATGGGTACAGTGGGTTGGCACTTCCCCTAGTCACTCACCCCAGGCTTCCATTCATGCCCACCTTCTCCCCAGGAAATGGCAATCCTCAATTGAATCCCAAAGTCTATCAGCCCAGAACTAGGCAGAGAGAGGAAGCATCAACCCTTGTGATTCTATGCCCACTAAGGAAAGGGGAGAGACAGGCTGAAGGAGGCACAGACAGACAGGACCCCCACCCATAACCATCTGACCTCCAGCTTGTCCCAAACAAAGCTGTGTGACCTTAGACAGATGTCTCCACTTCTCTGAGCTTTTCCCGATTGAACTCAGAATCTATTTAGGCATAAAACTGGCTATTGGCCATGCTTCCTTTCTTCTTCCAACCCCCAATCCTAACACACATATACGCACTCTTATGGGCCTACTGAGGTTCTTAGAAGTGTAGCATTCACACTACATATGGGTGGAATTCCCCATCATTTAGATTCCTGAGTTTTATCATGAAAGTGAACAAACTTGGGTGTCAGAAGACTGACTCTCCCTCTAAGCCCTTTTGACAGAAACCTTAGAGATCATCAAATCCAAAATAATCCTTTTAAGAGGCAAAATAGGAGGCGCAAGAAAGCTCAAAAAGTTGCCCGAGAGCCCCTGAAGGCAAAGCCAGATCTAGACCTCAGGTCTGTGGCTTCACTGCCCTGAGAGTCCCTGTCATGTGCCCCCATCCTGGCAGCCCAGCTCTACTCACATATAACGCAAGTGGGGGTTCTTGGCAAAGGCTCTGGGCTGAATGCTCCGAAGTCCTGAGTTCTTGATGGTCCTAGACAGAGAGAAAAAGAGATTCAGCAGAGCTCAACTGGCAGAGGGACGTCTTTTCTGGGCTGAGGCTGGGAGAGGGTGAGGCCAAGGCTGGCCCTGCAGCCACCCTGTGGGTCATCTGCACCTCTTCATTGCCGCTCATCACAGGTGGCCTGCTGGGGCTGCTCAGCGGAAGCATCTGCACTCACGCGCCCCAGGGCCCTGTGTAAGGCTGGAATGTCGGGTACTGGCAGCTGCCCTCCACCCACCCTGGCCAGTGGGTAAGGACCAGGGCCTCTGCTGGTCCAGCAATGGCAGGGCTGTAGCTCTCTGTTCCTGTCCCTCTCCCCACTCCAGGTCCCCACAGTCTCTAACACTGACATCCAAGGGAGGAGGTAGCTGGGAAATCTCATACTCCAGGGGGCTCATCAGTCAAGCATAAGGCTAGGGAAAGGACACTTGCCCACCGTGCCTGGGCCCCAGGCCTGCCTCAAAACCCTGCCTTCAAGATGGGACTTCACGCAACCCCCTTGCCTCTCAAGACTAGTAAAAAATAAAGGGGTGTGAAAAGATGGCCTGTGAAGCCTCTGGTGTCTCCTAAGTGTATGTTGCCAACTCTACCAAAAGAGGACTCATGGAGGGAAATCGCAGATGGCAGCCTCGCTGTGCCCCTCACTCCACTCCCAGAAGGTAGACCAGGTGGCACCCACCCCTTCCACAGGGAAAGGCCTCTCTGTGGCTGGGTGTACTCACAGCTTTTGGAGTCCGGTGTAGAGCTCCATGTCCACAGCGTTGAGCGTGTGAAGACTGCGCCAGTTCTCTATGTGTCTGCAGGGGAGGAGGAAAGGTAAGGGTCAGCCAGAGGCAACAGAAATGGGGCTGGCTTTGGAGCCACAGAGACCTGGGGCTTGAATACCAGATGAGCTAACTGAGAGCCAAATTGAGAGCCAGGCCTTTTGCCAATTCACCGACTATCTCTGATCCTCAGTTTCTTCTTCTGCATACTGGGGTTCACACTGTCTGCCTGATGGGGTTGGTGCGGGAATTAACTGAATTCATTGGTTCCAAGTGCCCGGCCCATGGATTGCATTGAAATGTCTCCCAGTCAGTTCAAAAAAGATGCTATTTAAAGACATGAGGTTCAATCTCCCTGCTTGCCTTCCTAACTCAGTTTTCCTCTGTTCCCTTTCTTTCTTTTTCCCATTTGGAATTTCCTAAGGACTGGCCCTTGTTTTCCTTAGTTCTTGCCCATAAAGACAAATGACATGGCTTCAGAAAAGGAGGGGGTGGCTGGCCAGCAGGCACAGCCAACGAGGGACATACAGATTACTTCCAGCATCACCAGGGTCTAGACCCTGGAAGGCCCCTTTGGGTGACCACAGCTCAATCCCTCCTGGAGCTCAAGAAAACCAATGGCTTGATTTGATGGAGCTGACTCCAGAGAATGGGGGATCCACCTAAGGATCCTGGAGGCACTAGGGTGTCATGGAAAGAATGGGAGCCTGGCGGTTGAGGACGCAAACTCTAGCTTCATTCAAGACTTCAGGACCCAGCGACTCTGAGCCAGTGCTTCTACCTTTCTGGGTCTCCAACATCTTCATTTGGAAAAGAGGAGAGTTATACGGAATCAGCAGTTTCTCCCCTTTCCATCCCAAAGATCTCCTTTTAGAACTTTGTCCCAAGAGATCCCACATTTAGGGAGGTTTATGTCTAGCAAGCACACTACATCTATTAAGCACTAATTAATTCATCTTCTTGGATTTATTAATCAGATATAAATCACTGTTAACAGAGCCTCTTATCAACAGACACAAACCCATGCTAACTCATTCAGTGCATAAATTCCAGCCCAAAGCAAAGAAACTCAACATTCTGTTGACAAGAGAAGGTTTGTCATGGGTGTGGATGTGGTTTCTGGGTTTATCATTTTTATATTGACCAAATGCCAGAAACAAACATCCTTCATTACCGCTTTTGGGGTTCCCAGGTTGAGCACCATGAGGCTAATATCAAGGCCCTTTGCAGCTCTAACAATGTATGAAAGATGCCCATTCATACACACCTGTGATCCCAAGGAGCACCAGAGGATCTTGGGAAAAGGCCTTCCATTGCTCACCCCATCCTCCTAGGATTTTACTGTGATCAGTGGCCATGAAGTTTGAGTACCATCTTAGTGAAGAGTGCAGAGAGGTGACAGCTCATCCTGGGACAGAACTAGCTCAGGCACACTCTGGCCAGGAAAGTGACAGCCACCTTCCCCAGACGTCTCCTCCCCAGCACCACTGCACCTGCAGCTCTGCCATCTGCCACTAAGTCGAGTCAGAGCCAGCAAGGCAGCAGGACTATGGCTGCCAGGGCCTCTGGAAGCATTTCAGAGCCACACGGTGACAAGGTATGCTGAGAACCTGTTTTGTACCACATTCTCTCAAAGTCCCTGCTGAGCAGCCAGAGACACTGGCATCTGCCGGGGACATGGACCAGGTGGCCAGGTCAGTGTTGGATTCCAATGCCAAAGTATTCTCCCTGGAATCCGTATAGCCCCAGGGCAGTTTGGGTGGTCTGGTCCCACCATGGCAGGGAACCTGGCAACATTTCAGATGAAAATAATGCACTAGAGGAGTAGAACTATCTGTGCCACCAGGTCGCCCAGTGTATTCCCGGGGCTTTGTAAATTACCAAGTAGATCACCATGATTGTACAGAATACTCCCCATTCATGGGAGCCCAGCTTCCTCCAAGGATCTGCTCCCAACAAGCAACTTTGATCAAACTGTTTAAATCAATGAGATCATTTTTCTCAGCCCACATTAGAATTCCATAAATGTGTTGTTACAGTTGTCAGTCATTACCATGTTCTAAAGCCTTACCCTTCTGAGCCCTGGTGGCTTATGCCCACAGACTGACCCTTCCCTGACTTACGCACACACTGAGATATGGCAGAGAAATGAATGAACTCCTTGATCCAAAGAGTCCTCTAGTAAGTAGAATAATGGTCCCCACCTCCTCCGTTGGGTAGCTCTGAGTTTTCCTAAATCAGGGAACGGCATTTTTATAGCCACAGTGCAGCAGTGTAGATGGGAGTCAGGGTTCTACACCAGTTGTCACCAAGCTACACCCTGCTGCCTGCTTTCCTGTAGCCCCAGAGCTAAAAATAGCATTTACATTTTTAAAAATCAAAAGAATTATATTTTGTAGTACATGAAAACTACACGAAATTCAAATTTCCATGTTCATACCCATTCATTTTCTGTTATCTATAGCTAACTTCAAGCTACCATGACAGAGCTGAACAGTTGCTACAGAGGCCATATGGCCTGCAAAGCCTGAAATATTTACTCTCTGGTCCTTTATGGAAAACAGCTGCTGACTCCTGCCCCAGAAGCTGATAGTCAGGATGTACATCCTGGCCCCATCAGTACTCCTATCTATGTGACCCTGTCCAGGTTACTTCTTCCGTCTGTGTCTCAGTTTTCTCATCTATTAAATGGGGACAATAAACTTACTGCCTCCTAAGAATTATGTGAAGATCAAAAGACTATGGTAAAAAAGAAAACGCCTTTGCAGTGTGGAGTACATGTAAGTCCTCCGGCAGAGTTGGCTGTGCTGATTACTTTCCTCCCATGCCTTACAGAAACTGAGCAGTCTTGTTCTCAGTTTTCAAGCTAAAAATGGCATCAGGCTTCTGCTGGAAGTTGTCATTTCTCAGCAATCATTGATAAAAACCCCATGTGGCGGAGTGTGGAGGGGTAAGAAACCTGTCATTCATGACCTCCAGGAAAAACTGTTCCAGCAGAAGTTTATACACAGGTTCAAGGAATGCATAGACGCCACGTCAGAGCAAGTTCCGAGGAAGAGCAGGAGGATGAAGGTGAGGCCCTGGCATTTCTGGATGGCATCAGCTGGGTGGCTGCCAAGTTTGCCTGTGACTCACCACTTGGTACCCAACCAGGAGGGTCAGGATTGTGACTGTGCTGGCTGGTGTGTGTGTGTGTGCTATTAGGGAGACAACCATTTTCAGTGAAAACGGTGGACTCTAAAAAAATATATTAAAAAAATAAAAGAGCAGGTTCAGTTTGCTTTTGTTAATGGTAAGTGAGCACCTCAACCTAGCACAATTACACATGGCTTCTCCTTTTTAGTGATTTTCTGGGCTGTCCAGGTTGTTTTCATTGAGCATTGTGTCATCATTTGAAAATCAATCAATACCACCTGCATTCCCAGCACTCGGGAGGCCAAGGCGGGTGGATCATTTGAGGACGAGAGTTCGAGACCAGCCTGGCCAATATGGGGAAGCCCCATCTCTACTAAAAATATACGAATTAGCCAGGTGTGGTGACATGCGCTTGTATTTCCAATTACTCGGGAGGCTGAGGCAGAAGAATCGCTGGAATCCAGGAGGCAGAGGCTGCAGTGAGCTGAGATCATGCCACTGCTCTCCAGCATGGGTGACATAGTGAGACTCTGTCTCAAAAAAAAAAAAAAAAAATCAATACCTATTCATTTCTAGAGGAAGGCGAGGCACCTAAACACTGTGAGGGCCAGTGAGTGGTTGCCCTATTCCAGGACCACAGGCTGGAGCAGCTCATCCCTGCCCGGACACCTTACCAACCCACTGCGGCTGTGGAGGAAAAGAACTTGGAGCAATGCCCAAGGGACTATGCAGTTCTGCAAAGTGCACGGTGGTGGTGGCCCCCACAGGAACCTGCAGCCCTGCTCTCAATCTGGATGTCCCTGCTGTGATCAGAAACAGAGAGTGGAAGGAGGAGAAAGAGGGCAAAGGGGCAGCACATCAGCTGACCACTCCTACTTTAAATAAATTACCTCCACTTTAGTCTCCTCACACAGTGGTTCTCAAAGGGAGGTAATTTTGCCCCCCAGCAGACATTTGACAGTATCTGGACACATTTTTGGTTGTCATAGCTGGGGAAAGAAAGTACTGATGGCTTACAGTGGGTAGAGATTAGAGATGCTGCTACACATCCCACAATGCACTGGGCAGTCCCCACCACTAAGAATCATCAGCCCCAAATGCCCACAGCACCAGGATTGAGAAACCCTGCTTTATTATACAAAGCTTCTGCCTACAAGGGCTATTAAAGCAAGAGTCTCATAGGTTAAAACAACATCAATTTTGAAGATGACTGCTTTGCAGCAGACACTACCAGGCCTCAGGCCAATACAAAAAAGTCTGCCTCTAGGTCACTGAGTCCAGGTGAGAGAAAAAAGTGGCAAGCCACAGCTCCCAGGACCCTCTCAAGTCATAGGCACTTCTTGAGAGGAAACGAGGGGTGTGATGGCCTGCTGGACCATGGCCCAGCTCAGGCTACACATTCCAGAAGCAATAGTGGTCTCTTCTCATCATCGCTGGCTGGAACCCGCTGGCCAAGAGCCTTTTCTCGCCCCTGAAACTTCCTCCCTGGATTTCTCATGTCTCTTTATTCTATAGAAATGTGAAATGCTCCATTCAGAAAATTTGCTCAATGCCCTTCTCCTACCCTCCCACCGATGCCCTTCCATTCCACAGAACCACTACTCTGCCAAGAGCTAGTGGGCACCACTTTTCCAGAGAGAGGGGGGCAGTGGGGCACAACACATGACATTGACCTCCAGAGCCAGAGTCGGGCTTAGGGCAGGAACTCAAAAACTTCAATGAGGTCAAGGTAGACCCCTGGCACCAAGATCTCATGATGCTGTCAGGGGAAGGGGAAATGGAGTCAGGGAACGGCTCTCCAGAAATACTAGAAAATCAATCTGAAATATAGCCACTCTCAGTGACTCACAACAGCAACACCAGGTCCCAGAGACCCAGGACGACAGAGAGCTGCTTCA